CATGAAAGGAACGGTCATCTACCAATTTTTAGCCTTCCTCAAGCTATGAAAAGAATAGTGATGTGGTAGTGATGAACAGTGATGTTTAGTGATGTGTAGTGGTGGATAGTGATGGGTAGTGATGGACAGTGATGTGAAGTGATGGACAGTGATGTGTAGTGATGTGTAGTGATGGGTAGTGATGGATAGTAATGGATAGTGATGTGTAGTGATGTGCGATGGACAGTGATGTGTAGTGATGGACAGTGATGTGTAGTGATGGATAGTGATGGGTAGTTATGGACAGTGATGTGTAGTGATGGATAGTGATGGGTAGTGATGTGTAGTGATGGGTAGTGATGGACAGTGATGTGTAGTGATGGACAGTGATGTGTAGTGATGGATAGTGATGTGTAGTTACGGACAGTAATGTGTAGTGATGGATAGTGATGGATAGTGATGGACAGTGATGTGTAGTGATGGACAGTGATGTGCAGTGATGGATAGTGATGGGTAGTGATGGACAGTGATGTGTAGTGATGGATAGTGATGGGTAGTGATGGACAGTGATGTGTATTGATGGATAGTGATGGGTAGTGATGGACAGTGATGTGTATTGATGGATAGTGATGGGTAGTGATGTGTAGTGATGGGTAGTGATGTGTAGTGATGGACAGTGATGTGTAGTGATGGGTAGTGATGTGTAGTGATGGATAGTGATGTGTAGTGATGGACAGTGATGTGTAGTAATGGACAGTGATGTGTAGTGATGGACAGTGATGTGTAGTGATGGATAGTAATGTGTAGTGATGGACAGTGATATGTAGTGATGGACAGTGATGTGTAGTGATGTGTAGTGTTGGACAGTGATGTGTAGTGATGGATAGTGATGTGTAGTGATGGATAGTGATGTGTAGTGATGGATAGTGATGTGTAGTGATGGGTAGTGATGTGTAGTGGTGGACAGTGATGTGTAGTGATGGACAGTGATGTGTTTTGATGGATAGTGATGTGTAGTTATGGATAGTGATGAGTAGTGATGGATAGTGATGTGTAGTGATGAGTATTATGGATAGTGATGTGTAAGGATGGGTAGTGATGTGTAGTGATGGGTAGTGATGAGTAGTAATCTGTAGTAATATGTAGTGATGTGTAGTGATATTTAACAATTATTCCACGAGGGCGCGTTGGATATGAGATGATAGATAGCCAACGAGGCGCATAGCGCCGAGTTGGCTATAATCATTTCATATCCAACAAGCCCGAGTGGAATAATTGTTTTATTAAAAACGCCCACAAAATCTCGTTGAATTGCCCCGACTAGAACAAACCGGAAAAGACAAGGGACTTCCGCTATTGACATGTCACACGTCTATCAAACCTGTCAACGCGCGAACGGACTCGCTTAGACTGCATGAATGAAAAATCAAAACATTGTAGCGATGAACATTAGTTTTTTAAAAACTCATCGTGATTCTAGGATTTTACACAGCAGAACAGCTTAAAAAACCTGGCAGATAATGTGAAGGAAAGGAATTTTTAAGTGACAGCCGTCGAAATTACTATGAATTTGGATTTTCGGTGCAGTTATAAAAGTAAGAACAACGGAGAAAAACTACCGGTATTACCTCGGTCGCTTGTTATGAAGTTGTTTGAAGCCACAAGCTGGTTTTGCTGAACGAGAAAAGAAGCTATACTGCCGCCTCGATTGCTCTAGTGAATGGCTGCATAGCCTGTATTTGTAGCTGGTTACTTGTGATTTACATTCTTGATGTCGGATAAACAAGCTGCAGTTATCTATCGGCGAGTGACTTGATCGGCGAATGGCTTCGCGATCATGAAGAAACAAGACTTGTCTTCTTTCGTAGCTGGTCAAGGTACTTTAGTTCCATGTGTTTTCATGTGTTTTTCGACAAACTTTCAGACAAGCTCTTGTGGCTTTTTTGTTTGTTTTTGTCTTTTTTCTTGCGCTGAAATTGCATTTCTAGTATTCTAAGAAATGAATTAAAACGATTTGCTTCGGGCGCCGTTCTATCCTTCGCGAAAAAAAATCTCAGCTAGCTAGCAGCTAGCTTCCAATTTTAAACTGACGCGTACACCGACCATATATGGAGAACATGGTATATTAGCTCATATACCATAACGGCTAAGCCAATCAAAATGCTAGAATTGCATTATCCAATGATTCAGTTTTTAATAAATAGTGATATGTTGTGATGTGTAGTGATAGACAGTGATAGGTGGTGATGGACAGTGATTGGTGGTGATGGGTATTTGATGCATAGTTATGTTGAGTGACACATAGTTACATGTTACATGAAGATATTTTAGTTGGATCTTTTGTATTCGTGTAGGAGAACACGGATTTATTACCCATACCGTCGTTACCTATGGGGTGCCATTACCGCCAAAATTCAGCTATCGTTACTTTCGTAAATGGTGCCTCCAATTTTGTTTATGGTGCCTTCGTTTTCATAAATGGTGCCTCTGTTTTCATAAATGGTGCCTCTGGTTTTGTAAATGGTGCCTCCAATTTTGTTTATGGTGCCTTCGTTTTCATAAACGGTGCCTTCGTTTTTGTAAATGGTGCCTTCGTTTTTTGTAAATGGTGCCTTCGTTTTTGTAAATGGTGCTTACAATTTTTATTATTATTTTTTTTTTAATGGTGCCTCCTATTGTGTTAACATGGTGCCTATATGTTATAAGTATATGGTACCTGTGTTTTTGTTTATGGTGCCTCTGTTTTTGTTAAACTGGTGCCTATATCTTAGTATATGGTACCTCTATTTTTGTTTATGGTGCCTCTGTTTTCACATATGTTGCCTCTAAACTTGTTAATGGTGCCTCTTATTTTGTTAAACTGGTGCCTTTATCTTTGTATATGGTGCCTCTGTTGTCTTAAAAAATGCTGCCGCTGTTTTCGTAAATGGTGCTTCAAAATATTCAGCAGTCTGGGAACGACTCTCTGGTGACTTAACCGAGGAAAACTGGGGCTCAGTGTCAAAATGGCGGACGCCTTAGCCTCTCTTCGCGGTCTTGTTACAGGAGAAATTGCAAACATTTGCAACAGTTTATCCCTTGAGCCCTCGGAGGATTTCGATCCCCTAGGTACATTAGAGAAAATTGATCAGGTGGTTGTTGCCATCAACTTCTTGGATTCGGTTGTACGTTTGCCCGAGGAAGTGTACCTTGACATATCAGTTGCAAGACGTATAATAGAAAACTTGAGCCCTGCCTCAGTGCGTACTCGCCAAATCAATAGCAGCAGGCCAGGACGTCCTTCTTATGAAATAAGCGCGGATCAGCTACAGTCACTCATCGACCTGCGATTTACAGTTCCACAGATTGCCAGGCTACTTAAGGTATCCACGAGAACCATTGAGCGGCGTCTTGCTGAATACGGCATCTCATCAAGGTCATTTTCGACTATCACGGATGAGGAGTTGGATGGCCAGGTTAGAGACATCAAGGTTTTTCATCCTAACTGTGGGTCCAAGAATCTGCTTGGTTTCCTCGCTTCTCGTAACATTACAGTACCCAGAGAAAGACTGAGGCAGTCCCTGCAAAGAGTTGACCCCATAGGAGTATCTGTTCGCAGATGCAGAGCTGTTCATCGACGTGTTTATTCTGTGTCTCGTCCTCTTGCTCTTTGGCATTTCGACGGCAACCATAAGCTGATCAGGTGGCGTTTTGTGGTGCATGGGTGTGTTGATGGTTTCACCAGAATCCCTGTGTTTCTATCGTGTAGTACAAATAACAAAGCCTCGACTGTTTTGGCTTGCTTTATGGATGCTGTAGGTCAGTGGGGACTGCCTTCCCGTGTTCGTTGCGATAGAGGAGGTGAGAATGTTGATGTGGTGCAATACATGCTTGAAAGAAGAGGAACTGGTAGAGGTTCAGCACTCGTTGGAAGAAGCGTCCATAACCAGCGAATAGAGCGCTTATGGAGAGATGTTT